TGAAAGAAGTATGAGACGTTTACACACACACACACACACACACACACACACACACACACACACACACACACACACACACCCAATTACTCCCATATTTCAGTTATAGAGATGAGAGCATGTCAGGGAGTTGAGGGGCTGTGTGTGTGTGTGTGTGTGTGTGTGTGTGTGTGTGTGTGTGTGTGTGTGTGTGTGTTTGACAGCGCGGGCAGTGGGAGAACATGACTCATTAGGTTCCTGAGCATCATGTTGATGCTTATCCCCCCCCAACGTCTCAGCGTCTTATCTGATCCGAGCGTCCTCTGTACGTGGCCGACATGAGAAGGAGGTAGAAACCGTAACTCTGCGGTGAAAGAGACCTGATGTCTTATGACTGAAGCATCAGACGCTGAGAGAGACGATGGTGAGAGACAACTCGGAGGGTGATTCAAATACAAGATGGTCAAACTGAGCTGCGTTCAGGGGAACAAGTTTTAAAAACACCCGTTCACACTGAGAGGAGACAACACAGTGTTGGTTTCTGACATTTCAGGTCGTCCTGACTCCAAACGTGCAAGATGGCGGCGTTCGAATCTGAGGTATCAGATGTGTGTGGCTGCTGAGTCAGGTGGAAGAGATGTGGTAGGTTTGTTTCTCGCTATTGGTCGAGTGCCTGGATCAGTGGGATCTCGATACTGCGGCTCCGTCCCATGATCACAGAGGCTGAGACGTCTCGCACAACTACACACAACGCAAACACAACCGGGACGGAGGTGAACGAGCCGAGTTTCTGTGGACGAGTCAAGTCAGGAACACGTTTCTGTTGCCGAGAACGTATCTGACCCAGAGTTCATGTCTGAAAACATCTGGATTTGTTCGAGTTAAAGGAGAAAAGAAGAAACACAAATGTAAAGTTTGTCGTTTGTATGACAACATGTTCTGGAGCCTGAATCCTGTGAAATGAGGATTTTGTACATTCAGAGGACGGAGACACGCGATCCCTTCAGGGAGCGCCGTGATTTCTGTGAAGTGTGAGTGAGATCTGAAACGACCACAGGAAGTGACCTCACAGTGCAAAGGTTTCATGGCTATAAAACGTGGATGCTGGCGACGATGAAGCCACAACAAGGATACGATCACGTTATGTTACACGTGCAGTTGTGTTTTTGAAAGACGAACAAAAAGAAAACAAAGTTGTTTTTCAGACAAAGAGCAGAAGAGGTGGCGACTCCACTGTTTCAGGTTTCTCACCAACACAATAGGCGGCCATGAGGAACCCCGCTGAGCCCGCCAGCACCTGGAAATCCTCCGCTTTGGTTCTGTGAACAATCAGGCCGATCCGTGTGATCTGAGGAGACAACGAGAGCGAGAGAAGAAGGTAAAAAAACCACGACTGTTTCATCATCATCATCATCATCACTCCTCCCTGCTGTCAGTTTCTGCTGTAGCATCTCTAATCCCCGAGGGGGGGGGGGATCACAAGAGACGACGACAAACCCAACATCGCACAGGGTAAACAGATCGCTCAAATTGAGACGAGCAGCGACTCTTTACGGAGGATTTGGGAGGGAGGGAATCGTTCAACGGCCCGAATGAAAGAAGGAAAAAGAGAGAGAGAGAGGGAGGGAGAGAGTCCCAAGTGAGATAAAAAAAAGAGGAATCAACTTCAAACGAGGAGGAGGAGGAGGAGGAGAAGATCATGAATAATTCATACGCTCCTTATTTTGTTTTGCATCTTTTAATTCCTTTTGTCAAACCGGATATGAGAATCCAAATAAACCTGAAACGTTCAAAGGCAGCGTGAGACCACGACGACGACGACTCTGCACATGAAGCTGAAAACTCCGCAGGGAAAACCTGCAGCCTGCGGCTTCAGCCTCCATCACCGTTACCGGGGAGGGTCTATTTTTAACCGCCGGGTGTCAGTCAGCTTCCCCGTATCAGTCATTTCAAACACGTAGGACTGTAATTGATCAGTCAGTCAATCAGGGTGTAGGAGCTCCTGCTGGTCTCCTGAAGGCTGCAGCACTCTGGATATTTAGATGCAGCCCCCCAGCAGGAGACATAAAGCAGCAGCGACACAACTGTCCTGCCCCAGCGACAGGAAACCACTCATTAGCTCTTATTTCTGTTTAAAGTCTCATTATTGTCATTAGCCTGAAGTGTGCGACTCGTGATCGCAGGGAAACTGCCAGGAGCGTCTCAACGGACTTTAGGGGCTCCGAGCAAAACGGACCAAACCAAACCTGTAAGGAACACACGATACCTGTCGTCCGAACAATTCACAAAGTTTTCAAACTTTTCTTCTGTGACAATTCGTGAAATTCTGTTGACTTTAGCAATAATGTTTATTTTATTGAAGAATGACTTTTATATACAGGTGCAGGAGAAACAAAGAGGATGTGCGGAAGAAAGGAAGAGGGGCAGGAGGAACAGAAAACGAGATACATCTACAATTTCTAGAACCAGAGAAACGTCATGTTTTCATGTTTCAGGTTGAAATGAATCGTCTGTGGATCCTCGTTAGAAACAGGAAGTGCTAAACGCTAATTGTCTGTGGATCCTCACAAGAAACAGGAAGTGCTAAACGCTAATTGTCTGTGGATCCTCGTTAGAAACAGGAAGTGCTAAACGCTAAATTTCTGTGGATCCTCGTAAGAAACAGGAAGTGCTAAACACTTACTCTGCAAAATGCCTGTAAATAGAAGGTGATGAAATAAAGCAGGAGCTCCACTGCTGGTGGGTGAGATCAATTAGGTTCAACCTGCAATTATGATCATTTAAAGCTTCACACACTCGTTATTTAAAGGTTCCTCCTCTTCTCTGACGATGAGCCACACGACACTACTACATGTAAAAGATGAAAGTATTTATAAATGTAAAAATGTGACGACTCAAACTGTGTCTAATATAAAATAATATTAGGTGATTCAGGCTTTTCGGTTTTAATTTCTATGAAATAATTTTTTAATAAAATAGATCTGAAAGCTTTAACTCCATCCCAATGTTGTGAACACAACACCTCAAAGAAAACCCATAACATTTTTGAAGCATGTAGAATTTTTAAGTTTTTGAGATATGAAAATGTTTCTCTGCTCTTCTCGACACTCTCTGGCGCCTCCTAGTGTTATCAACAAGTTTTACACTGCGCGTAACAAAACATATGACATCATCGCACGAGATAGAAGACGGAGGCTTCTGTGTTCTAACTTTCATGGTTTATGGAAAACAACAATCTTCCACGGTGGTTTCCAGAGCGTTCACTTGTTAAAAATTAAATGTTTAAAGGAAATAAGTGAAATGATGACGTGTGAAATGTCTTTAACTTTATTTATCATATTTAAATGTTCAGGTCTTTTCTCAAGTTGCGGCTATAAACGTTAAATAATCACTCAGATGAGAACAGTTTGGATCAGATGGAGAAACTCTGCGTTCACACGTCTGAAACCTGCAGGAAACACTGGGTGTGTGTGCAGAGACGGAACGAGGAGTCGGATGAGATGAGACTTGAATGATCTGAGGGGAGGATCATTAAAGGAGACGATCAGGAGAGACTGGTGGCTGACAACTGTTTCAAACCCATGTGACTGAACGTAGCTCGCTTTCAGCGCCGTCTTAATTTATTCACAAACTTTTCCGTCGTGTGCGGCCGCTGTCACTCTCCCCGATCATCAGCGTCACAATAACTCGTGTGTGCAGAGAAAAATAAAAAAATACACAGCCGAGCCGTCGACGCCTCAAAATAGAAACAGAAACAGTGAAGCAAACCACCGTATCCGTGACGACTCGCGGCTGCTTCACGTTGTTTGTTTTATTTCTAAAGGAAGAATCTGAGGACCGCGCAGACGTTTGATCCTTCAACAGGAAAGAACCAGATGAGTTTAAAGGAGCGTTACACCAAAAACTGTGTTTGGGAGAATCACTCACATCTATGGAGGAGAGCAGAGCTCACTCAGGGATTATGTAATCAGATTACAAGAACTCAAAGATTAGTTTATTTATGCTGCTGGGCTTTTTTTAATCCTGTTTTATCGGTTTTCTTTTCTTACTTTAGATGTTTTACTTGTTGCTTGTTTTATTGTTAATGCACCTTTAAATGTTTTCACGTGTTTTATGCTTTCCCTTGATTTTATGAATTCATTTGACCCACAGCTGCCATGGTTGTGCAGCGAGACCAATTTCACTCCATGTCCGTCTTTCCTCTGAAAACTTTTTTCAAATTCACTTCGGCCAAAATATAAAAACAACCGTGAAGACATTTCTGATGATCTGCCAGAGAGCAGCGGCCGACTCATGTGTTTTCTGTTCTGAATACTTTCTCTGCGGCTCGTCTGCCGTCCTCAAATTGACCCACCGGCCCTTGTTTTCTGTGTGTGGCCTCTTCACGCCCACAAATTGAGAGGGGCCACTCTGCGCTTGAACTACGCCCACGCTTCTGTCTCCCAGCGAGTGGACAAACATGTTATTTACCCAATCACAAATCTATTTGCAACTTCTACCCACACAGACAAAAAAAAAAAAGAACAGTGTGAAGAGAGAAAACTGTTCTTTTCTCTCCGACAACTCTGCAATCAAAGGACTCGATCTGAAACTTCTTCACTCGTTCACACTCTGTTCTCGACAGCGTGGCGCTGATCTGCTTCTAAAATCTGTCTGAGTGTGAAGAGCAGAGACAGCGGAGACGTCCCTCCATCGCTGCTGCACAGACTCCAGATGTGCAAGATGGCGGCTTCGTGCCTGAGATTTTTTTGGCTTCGTTTCTGTATCGTCGGAGGAAGTGAGAGTAAAACTTCCTCCTGTATTCAAAATTCTCAGTAAACGTCTTTTTAAACGTCTGCATAATAACTGAGTTCAGTCCAACTCGTACGGGAATCTACCTCGTCAGTCTACAGGCTGAGCGAACATCTGTGTGGCAGCTGGACATAAACACACGTGGTGGGTTTGGTTCTTACGTCTCCTCCGCTGTCCTTCAGGCCCACGATGTTCGGATGCTGAGACAGAGTCACCACAGCGTCCAGCGGCAGCTCCAGTCCAGTGTTGGCTGGAACGCTGTAGAGCACCACCGGCACCGCACTACTGTCCGCCACCTGCGGGATGAGACAAGGAATCCACACGGGTTTGATTCCTTATCTAAAGTAATGATTGTACAGTCACTGGTGTTAAGCATAGACTGTAAATAAAGATGGATAAATAAAGTCCAACAGTCCTGTTTGCCCCCTGGTGGCTGGCTACAGTATGGGTTTTATATATATCTATATAGGAAGTGGAGACTGTGATTAAGTGTCACAGTCAGAATTTATTTGACTTTACCTTTGTAAAGTGCTGGATCAGGGCGCGACTGTCCATCTTCCCCTTGTAGAAGCAGGGAGTCACCACCAGGACGACGTCGGCGCCGGCCGCCGCCATCTTCTCCGTGAGCTGCAGGGTGGCTCTGGTGGCTGAACAGACGACGGAGGAGAAACACAACGTGACAGTGAGTTCACTCTTTTAGAACTGCACTGGTTCCAGAAGTAGATTTATGGTTAATTTGTATGCATCACCTCACACACTGAGCATGGCCTCCATTTTCACTGTGGATTTTCTTTCTCCTGCTCAACTTTTCAGCCTCTAAAACCTGATTTTAGTCGTCTGAGTAAATTGATTTACAACTACCACAAAGATATAATACAATTAGATTTTATTTCTCCAATATATTTTTGTTGGGTTCGAGTTAGGGTCAGGGATTTTGATTATTGTAAAACATTATGAAATGTAATTTTAGCAAACGTGATTTGTTTAAAAGGAACTTTGACTTTTGCAGGGAAACAATTTGACTCGTTTCTTCTTCAAAAATAAAACCTGTTGATTCAAATCTTAACTCGACATGAAGCCGACTAATGATCATCACAAATACAACGAGTATTTAACGTTGAACCCTGAACTTAGAAAAACACACACACACAGTCTCCTACATTCACAGCCTGATCCGACCATCAGCAGTTTGTCCGCCGGCAGCGAGCGTCTGACCGTCTTCACCACCTCCACCCGCTCCTCCTCCGTCAGGTACGGGTACTCTCCGTTGGAGCCCTGCACCACCAGACCTGCAACACAGAACACTTCTCATCTCACGTTTCTCCGCTGCTCGTAAACTCACATTTACAAAACCTGGATCTCTATTTGGATCTGCAACAAACTGCACACACTCATAGATATCAGTCCTCTAAACATGCCCCCCCCCCCCCCATGACAGTAGTATGTAGTATTCTAGTTGTATCCTGTGTCTCGATGTTCTTATACAGTTTTATTTCCTTCTATTCTCTTTGTTTGAACCTGGATGTATTCTGCTGTAACGCCCACTTTAGCCCCCTGAGGATCAATAAATCTCATCTTCACTTTATGTTGTAGTTTCCAAACTGTTTCATATAAAACATAGAAACAACAGATATAGTAGTTGAGGTAGAACTGACAGCAGTAGTATTCGTATCTGTGGGGGTGTATAAATAATCTGAAGGTGATACAGAATCATTGGAAGGAGCACATAGGAGCTTTTTATTTTCATCCTTTTGATTATAATCTGATTAAAATCTGAATACATTCATTTACAACTGGTACACAAATATGTGACTTCTTCTCATGAAACTTTTATCGTGTTGTTTGAAAGTTTTTCTGTCAAACAGTATGAAAACAACAGATATATGTATTTACTGATACGACTGACAAACTGAATATTGCCTCGTTTATCTATAACTGACAGCACCAATAACAGTGTGTGTACATACAGTAACAGAATACTGTGTGTACTGTAAATACTTCAGCTGCAGTAGCATTAGAAAACCACCAGAAGGAGACAAACCTCAGGTGAGCTTGTGTTGTTTTTTTTCTGTGAGCTGAACTTTGACCTGCAGGTCCCTGAACACACTGATGAGTGACCGGTCAGTGAACCAATGAGCTCCTGAGCTGCGTGTGTGAAGGTGTGAGAGGCGAGCAGCTGGAATGTGATTGGATATTCTCCTCAAAGTCCCTCAGACCCGCGGAGCCTCCGTGTTCTAACATCAGTGAAGTTAATCAGTAGCTGACACAGTGAAGTCAAACTTGTCCAAACAGAGGAGCCTTCTGGATCCACCTCACTGAACTACTGGAGCTCGAGTCTCTGACCTTTAAACGGTATCTTGGCATATTTCTGCAGGTTTCCCTCCAGTCCCCGGTGGTCCACGTCCTCCTTGGCGGTGAACGGGGTGGCGATGGGCGGGTAGATGCCGCTGAGGTCCAGCCTGGCAGCGGCGGCAGCGGTAGCGTGGCTCCGGGTTCGTCTCCAGGCTCCTCCGCAGAGAAGGGGAACCGGGCGTCTCCACATCCGAGCGCACAGCATCGTGAGGCGGACACTGACCGGTGCTCGCTCCCTGTGTGTGTGTGTGTCTGTGTGCAGGAGGAGGAGGAGGAAGGAGGAGGGTGGTCATTAACCTGCTTCTGTAAATATTGACCAGAGTTTGATTTCCACAGCAACTTTCAATCTGTATCAACTCAGAGGGTTTTTCTATCAGACACGTTTTTACGCTGCGTAAAAGCCAAACTTCGCGTTGTTAAGTTACTTTTACGCGTTTATCCACATGACAAAAACTTTCACTCACCTGACAACTGTTTGAAACGACTGTCAGGCGGTAGGACACACACACACACTCACACGCACACACACACACACGCACACACACACACACCGTGCAAAGTGTGTGTTTGCCCAGTAGATCCAAAGCTCCGCCCCGGAAGAGGCAGGGTCTGTCAACCACGTGCAGGTTTCAGAGTTGACGCAAACTTCTCATGTCTCAGGACCGCCACCAGGGGGCGCTGCTTGTGACTCAACCCACATTCTGCCGACACCAGTTTATTAAGAGTCTGGTTTTATTACAGAAAGTGAGTTCAGCAAAGTCTCCTCATGAAAACAGCTCAATCATCAGATCTGGATTTATTTTAATGCATAGTTAAAATTAAGTTTCAGCATTACATGCAGTGAGATACGACAAAATGAAACCTGATGAAACAGCAGGTGAAATAAGAATAAGACATACGATCATGAATGACCTGGAAATCACTGCTGCTGTTTTCTCACATGAGCTAAACGATGATATCCACTTGATTTATCTCCATCTCTTAAATACCCTTTAAATTATAGTTTGCTAATTAATATACATTAAACCACATTCACATCCTTTTTTACAGATCATAAGAACGTCTGGTGATAACTTAAAATAAAAACGTATGGACACATGACTTATTAAATGAAACTTACAAGAGGAATAAAAACTCAAAAGTTGAAATAAAATCAGATTCTGTGTGTTCCAGTGGATGTTATAGCCTTTACTATACTGCCACCGTGTGGAGGAGCCTTTAATTGCAGTCACGTTCCATCTGCAGTGGCTTTGAATCAGTTTGAATGATTAAACATGAAGCACAAAGTACAAACGTTTGTTTAAATCATCAACGTGGAACTAGAGGAGTGGAGGCTGTTATAGAATCAGATGAACTCTCTGTTCATTTGTGATGACGCTGCAGACGGACGTGTTTTCAACCACACGGTGAAACTGGACAAACCTGCATCACGTGTGATCGTGTGTCAGAGATGAGGGAGACATCGTGTTGGAATTGGCTGAGAGGCTTTACACCAGCGGGGGCCCCAGTCAAAAACAGGGACCTCAGGGGGCCCTACATTGAACCAGAGCAACCCCCCCACCCACTCCAATACATTTAGACATTCTAGTCTTCAACCAAACCTCTGAAATAAGGAAGCAGAATTATCTGCAGAGAGTTAGTGACATGAGGTCCGGAGGTGTCCGATGGTGTCTACTGTGCAAAGCAGAGGAGAGAATCTAAAGGGGTTCTCACAAAGTGTATGTTGCTGTGGACTGACGTCATCAGCCCTTGTAAGGTGGCCCCCTTTCAGCTCGGGGGTCATTACCTGAAGTTTCAGTCTCCTTCGCTAACACTGAATACTGCTCGTAAACAATCCTGATGTTCAAATATCTTACAGCGTCGACAAATCACAAAATCATAGATTAATACAACTTTTTAATAAACCACTGTTTGAAAGAGACTTTGAACAGCTTTTGATCAACACTGGTCCTTTCTGTGACGTGTGGATGTTTAATGTGAATGAGACGTTTGTTATTTTTGAAGAATTGTGAAAACTACGATATCTAACTGTGGTGTCCTGCCTCTCGCGAGTCACGTTTGTGCGCAAGCCACTGAAACGTTAGTCACACGCACACACACACACACACACACACACACACACACACACACACACACACTGCTGATGATGACAGGAAACACAAATTCACTGACCAACCTTCCACAATAAGGCAACTAAATAAAATGGCTTACATGAATTATTTTTAAATAGCCAAACGTTACCCGTTAAAAACTAACTGGATATTGTTGATGATAATAATAAATATTTTAGTTCATTAGCTTTATATTCGCTCAAGATTGTTTGTTGTGTCTTTTTCCTTCTATAGTTTCAATAATCGTTAAACCGTGATCTTTTCTCTGACAATAATCGTGGAACCAAAAGATGAGTCACGTGGTGTTACGACACCCTCRAAGGCTCATCACAAAGACGTCCAACATGGTTCAGAGGGTAACAGTAAAAAAACAAGTCCATTCATTGCAGAAAAGACAAGAAGCTCAACAACAGGCCGGCAAAATGGAGAAAAGAAGGAAAAGCCAACACATCAACCCACAAAGAGTCGTAGGATCTGAGAATCTTCCTTCAACCTAAACCAACATCAGAACTAAAGCAAACAGAAATAAAGCCGTGAACACTGGACGACAGGACCCATCAGAAAAGAACAAG